TCAGGCACAATCCTCATCGTCATCAGCCACTGCATGAACGATTGGCACAATATTTCTTGCAAGTGTTTAGCGGATACCACACTTCACAAAAGAAGGACGAAAAATAGCATAGTGAATGCCAGCCTTGTACACACAAATTGTAATATTAATGCCGCAGTGGACATCAAGCAAGTGTGCTTGCAGCAGTTATGCAAGTAGTGTTTAGAAAATGCTCTGAAAGGCCGCTCTTCTAGCTTTCGCTGTGGCTCTGCTGCGTCTTCCACGCAGGCTTGGCGTTTTTTTACATTTTCTCGCTCTGAGTAATTATCTTACGTCCCATTTTCTTGCTCTTAAAAATACATCTTCATCTGCTCGTCCTTAAGTAATAAACAATACATTATACTTTTTTTCTCAATTTTCTTCTAGCAGGGTGAACAGAAAGAAGGAAGAGTGTACTTAAAGCGGTGTGTGTTATAACTGTAGCGGGCATTATTCAAGAAGTGATGAACAGTTTTCTGCTTACGCCGGCGTTGTCTCTGATTGTCACCGTCCTTTGTGTGCTTTTAACTATCGTCAAAAAGATAGTACTGTGTTGCGAAGCTCTTTGGTTTTACGTTCGGTATGGGACAGCCAGCGAAGCTCGTCAAACATTCTCTCCAGTGAAAGCACGATGGTCCAAAGACAGATGTTTGAATTATTCATTACACTGGTAGCAAAAAGAAAAAATATATCTTGATTTAGGTAGTACAGGGGGGGCACCTCTTGAGTTACTGGAAAGGAGGAACGAGTAATTCTTTCGTAGAGTAATATGACATGAAATTGATAAGTAGGCTAAGTTTTTGGTTGTCTGGAAATGTTCTAGCTTTTTAGAAATATCGAGCATACTTACTTTTTTGGTGAAGGTATTGTTTCTGTTTTTTTTTACTGACTCTCGCAGCAATTAGGTTGATCAAACGAGCAAAAAGGCTGTGATAATCGCTGATAATAACACACCAGAACTCTTTTTGTCCTCGGATAATCACGCCAAACTGCGCAGCGATGTAACGTTTTTCGTTTTTTTTTATTATTGCAGGGTAACAGTAGGCATAGGAGGCTTTTTGCTACACTGGGACCAAATCGTGTCGCAACAGATGTTCATACTAAAAACGATAGTCTTTCTTGGGGACCTTCGACGCAAAAAGTTTGGTTTGTCTGTCTGTCTGTCTGTACATTTGTCTGTTTGTCTACTTTTAACGACATAGGGTATTTGAAACGGTTGACCCCATCCGCAGCGCCCACCAATGTTGCTCAAAATTCAGCGTTCATACTTGTGTAATTGTACATTAAAGAGCAATTATTGCGCATTTCTGGGGCACCATAACAACAGGTATATATTCTGCATGTGCGTCGTTTACTATAAAAGTCATACATGAGTAGTCTTAAGAAACGTAGCTCTTACCACGCTGCACTGACCATGCAACGCTTGCACGAAAATGTGAGTGTTTCCAACACTTTTCTAAGAAGTGTGGCAGCTTGGGCTAGTTGGTATGGCATGACAATAGTTTAGCGCGAGAACAAAACGACGACACAGAGACAAGAAGGACACGAAAGACACGAGCGCTTGTGTCTTTCGTGTCCTTCTTGTCTCTGTGTCGTCGTTTTGTTCTCGCGCTATAACTATCGTCAGGCTTTGGTAAGACGAGACGGTGGTGGTACATACCCGTCACCTTGCGTTCTACACCGTGTTAGCTTTAAGACGGGCGCGCACACCAGTCTCAGAGCCACGTGCTTTGTTTTCCAATAAAACTGCCAGATGGCGCTCATGTATCACGTGTGCCTTGACTTGATGCGCTCGTTCGCCTCCGCTGCATGCTCGAAGCACTCTAACGCAGCGTCGCCAGAATACCATTCAGCGATTTTATTGCGCAGAACATCAAATAAATGTTTTGTTCACTCTCTCCACATGCAAGACTATCGTCTTTCGACGACATTTGCAGATTAACATGCAGATACGGGGCCAATTTCTTTCGTGTTAACATTAGCTTTGTGTATGTAGAGTAATAGATTTCGACCATTCTATTCTAGGAAAAAGAAAAGCAGTAAAAAGATGTTGGTATAAGAAACAGCGCGAGCGTTAATATGCAAAATTTTGAATCAATGCCGGTATTTAGGAAGTCATGTGTACTCAGCATTGTGAGTCCACTGAAGGTCGACATAATTAGGCTTGAGTGTAGACAAGTTAAAACCTGAATAAAACAAAACAGAAACCTAACATCCCAGTACTACATCGACGTTTCCGTAAATAAACAGTATTTACTGTCTGGATGAGCTCGACAAGTTACCCAACCAAAAATCGGCTAACCATTCAGCTCAAAAGTTGTCTCACCCCACCTGCCTTTTATTCTTTTTTTTTTGGTGGCGGGGAGAGGGGGTAGAGGAATGAAGGGAAGCTGTTTTATGAAGGTTTAATATCATTGACCAGCTAAACCTTTGCCGATAGACAAATCAGAGCTCCGTGATTTATTTTTACGTTGCCTGGCCAGCCTACGCTTTCAAAAGCTTTACATATAGCGATAGAAACTACCGCATGTAGCATACGTGAACAGGTGGCGCTTCGGCAGCACGCTGCTTTTTGATATTACTGCTTTTAGGCTCCACTGCCTAGTGTACATTTTGTCATTGATGCAAATGACACGCGCATATACGCGAACAAAAGCTGCTTTTACTTGCAGGACAGACAACTAGCACGGAAAGTGTGGTTGTATGTCACCCGCGAAGAAATACGGAAAGAAGTGGTTTTAAAGTTTTCCGCGTAAAAAGAAATACAGCCAAAAATAAGTCATAACCGATACGTTGGCGAGCTTTAGGTGCTGTCAGACCTCATTGAGAAGCCCGGTAACCGATTGCCTAGACAATGTTTAGGCTGATAGATTACCCTTGAAAAACAAGATAAGAATATCCGCCGGTGGAACAGAGCGACCAAACACGGTGCTGCTTCATGCTACATTGCAAGTTGAAAAAAAAAATGTTTTGAGCCAAAGAAGTTCAAGTTTTTTCCTCATTTTTCACTGTTGTTTCCGCGCTGCACAAAAGCTGGCTAGACTGACCTCAGAAGTCCCGGTACTTCCTTTGTCAACAGCAGAAGTCTCGGATAGCTCTTTACCAAGAATGATGGATTGCGGGCACATGAGATAACTGTTCTTGCCTTTCTTATTCCCTTAGCTGTAGACGAACGTCATCTAGCCATTGAAGACCTCTTCACATTTTCCGCTCCTTTGATTATGTATTTTTTGCATTGCCTTCATAGCTGTTGCTGTTGCTGTTGTTTTTGTTCTTGTTGTAATGGACATGCAAACTTCACGGGTACTATATTCGCTGTCAAGACTTTTCAGTGTGGAATATAAGCTTGTGAATATTGGCAGTGTGATTAAACTACTCATTGCAATAGAAGTTGTGCTAATGTTTGCCTGTGGTGCATATTTCATGTCACATGTTTTATTTTTGTTTAGAACAAAATGTCAATCATACAGTCTCTAAGCCAATGTTTTTTTTTTACTTCTGTTACGCCGCGTGAAATCCCGGCTATGCATTGCTCTGAAGTGCAATATGTATAATATGTTTCGTTGAATAATGTACTTCCTTCTGAAGTCAAGTGATCATTTTGGATAGGCTTAATGCCCTTGAAGGTGTCAGTAAAGACCATCAGCTTCATGGCACCCATGGTGTCACTGACACTTTATTTGTATAGTACGCTCGCTGCCACAATTATAAGCAATGCTACCTACCTGTTCGTACAAGATGCCAAAATGCAGGTGTGGTGGCGTCTGTCTGAGTTACGCAGAATACACAGAACTGCGAAAAATTGATATTTATGTACAATATTTACACTTAATACGTATACCATCTCAAGCTGGATCAATGTTTGTATATAGTTCACAGCGAATAAATGCACCTCTCTTCTGGACCCTGAAATTCATACACGAATGTCTGTGACCTCGATAAGTCCATGAACTCGTAGTTCTTGGTTCAGTATATATACGATAAGTGAGCCACTTCAAGCGTGCTACCGACTGACACATAAGTCGAGTAGGCACTCACACAATGCATGCACACAAACACTGAATTCACGAATAAGTTAGCACGAAGCACGGCAATCGACACCATTTTCACGCAGCTGCAGCCTCAGAGACACAAAGACACAGTTCGCAACTGCTGCTGTGACGTTGTTTCATTTGGCGCAGTTTTTCTTGCAGAGTTTTGTAGAGTTCACAAATACGTCTCTTGCTTCACACTTTGTTTCCAAGCGAGACGCGATGATGGTGCAGTAGATGACGCAAGGGTGCGGTAACACTGAAGCTCGAGAAACGCGATTACAACTCCATGTTTTTCTCGGGTCCGTATTTGAGTTTGTACAGCGGCTTACCTATTCAGGCTGCCAATGATGAGCACATGCACGGAGCATGCGGTGGCCGTTTGCGCTATATTCTTAGAAAAAAAAAATACAACACAGTTTTTTTTTGATGAAGTTGCGCTTTTTCTTCATACATTCTAAAAAGTGAGGAACACCTTTGTTGATACGGGAAGAAACACGACATGTCTTTGCCTGCTTTGCTTTGCTGAGCACATATGTGTTAACGTATTACTGAATTACCCGCTGCGTTGATTCAGTTGTGTTTCCACAAAAGGCTCTCGCCGCATTTAGTCTTATCAGCTGGCTTCTTCATTAAGGGCTTTCGCTGAACGGAGCCTTAATAAAGTTAACATGATGCGTCAACGTCCCGACATGTAATGGCTATAATCCCATTATCATTTCATTATTTGACACTTGATTTCAGATGCGTTTGAGGAATTTATGACGCTCAAGAATGAAGCAGAGACTGAGGCTTCTTGTGCTTTAGAACATTTTCTCACACGATGATTATCAACTAGTGTGCTGTAATAATCGAAATTGACTCTAGGGTGATAACGGGCACCGGGACATTGTGTGGTACTAAAGCTGTCAGAAGTTATCTTCTCATTCGCACTGCTCACGCATTGCGAGTTGAGTGGGTGCGGTTTTTGGAAAGTCACTTTCGAGCTGGGTTTCTCCGTTCTTCCCGGACTGTTTCGTTTGGAAGGCACTTGAGGCGAGAGAACCCTGCAAGCAGATGTGCTCGAACATCGCGTGGTTGATGTATTGGTTTGAAGTCTTGAATGACGTGGAATCCGGGTGACTTTTCGGGTGGTCCGAAATGCCCATTTCAGTAATACCTCCAAGTCACGTCAACCCAGACACTCCAACCTGAGTAAAAAAAAAGACGGTTCAGGAGAAAGAACATTCAGTGAATAGATTTTTTTTTCTTTCAGCTTCACTATTCTTGGTGTATCTTGACGTATCTCATTTGTAATTTAGCTTACACGTATACTGAATATAAGAAGTTTTCTTGTGGGATAATGGACTACCCGTTTCGATAGATAATTACTTTAGATATGATTTAATACACCACATTCTCACAAACAGCCTGTTTATATGCGCGGATTTCATTTCCACTAGGTAGTTAGTTTTTTTGGAGATAACGTTCGTGTATTATGAATGATGTTTACCTTATATGGCGTATTAGTCACAGGCTTAGTCAGGTGATCGTGTTGTTGAAGGCGTTCAACACCCCTCCCCCCCACCTACTTCTTCTATATTTTTATGTTATTCATATGCAATAAAAATGCAAACCTGCAAACGTACGCACAACATACATACAATATGACCCCCCCTCCCACCCCCCCCCCCAAAAAAAGATATTTTGGCTAAGCCCCGGTGCTGTACTTAGGTTGTGTGCTGTTTCAAGTGCATGTAATGTTTACGGAAACATTGCTGGCAACTGACTGTTCATGACAGCCCACGGAAACCAACCAGTTTGATGCAATTTTGTAAAACAATGCAAAATTTTAAATACATTTGGTAGGTGATTTTAGTGTCCATGCACACTTTTATACGATACCGTGTTACCGCATACCAGTTATACCCCTGTCACACGGCCACCACTAAACTCTGTTGAACACCGTCAACGTAAATCTCCCCTAGGTGGTTCGACGGAGAAGGAGTTGTGGCAGTGTCACACGGCAATGAAAAGGTTGTAACAGTTGGCGCGACGGGGCTCAGCTGGCGCTGTTTTATTTTCGGAAAAGTATTCTAATTTCATCTCTATTGATTTTTTGTGAATCCTCGTTATGGGGTTTTTAAAAAAACACTATTAAGGAGGTAAGAGGCTAACAAACCATAAAAATATTTCCAAATAAAATCGAATTTGCTAAATGTAGCGATGCTGCTAGTGAGGCTGGCCACATTGTGCTTTTAGTTGTTTTGTTGCCTGTGTTCATGCCTGTGTACGAAAGTTCTTGTGCTTCCTTGCCTCGTGAGCGCACATTTTGTGTTCTTCAGCCATGAGTGACACAGCGACGACCACAACCACACGCATGGACGAAATATTTTTCAATGGCGCCGGCCGGCCCGACTCGCGAGACACCACGTGCGAGGCACGGAGTGTAGAGCATCGGTGTTGAGAGTAAGTGTGAACTCTGGTGGGTGTAAATAGATGTAAACAAACACGCGTTGTGAATGAGTACTACAACGAAAGAACGTTTAAGATTGCCAAAATGTATTATTCTTTCCCTGCGGTCACTTAGTGCTCGAAATTTTTCTCTGACCTCTAGACTGCTGGGGACGAGAGGGCCTCGTTTCGCTGCGAAGAGAGATCGTTGAACGTCTTTTGCGAAACGCTCCGTTTACCTTCGTTTGGGTAAGGGTGGCCGTGTGACACGGACCACATCTTCGTTGTCGTAAGGACGAGGGAGTTAAACGGTCTTGGCGGGTGCCCGTGTGACAGGAGTATTAGAGACTCCGCATTCGCGAGCTTTGTGGGACGTAGAGTTTCCATCACGGAACGTGAAGTGCTTGATGAATAAGTATTGGGTTCGCGGCCATAGCTCGTGAATTCACCTTCGTTCGCGGCTGCTCGCGATATCCGGTTTTCAGAAAGTGCAGCCGACGAGTGAAAATAGGCCGACGTATGAGCGCCAATTACGGACACGTTGTTTGATCCGGATTGCCGAAGATTGAGTGAGTGATCTAGAATACCAAAGTTCAAAACATCATATGCCTAAAGCCCCCAAGAGGGTAGATTGATGGCGACATCTAGCGGGGCCGAGATGTACCAGCCAAGCACAACTCGATTTTGTAGACGCGTGGGGCATTAGGTGCATTCTACGTCTCATTTAAAAGCCTTCCAGTGACGTGAGTGCGAATGAATTGCCTTTTTAAATATGTTTTATCCTCAAAATCACTGGGCGAAAACTGTGCTTGTAATTCTGGTTCCACGAAATATCAAAAGATGTCGGCACCGTCGTCTGACGAATCGGTAATCCTGCGCCGCTTAGCGTGTACCGGGATGCCGTACGGGCTTTAATCCGTTATTGCAATTTTGTCGCCGCGAAGATTGAATCTTATTAATATTTTTCATTGTTAATGCAGTTATTATCACTGTTTAGTTGTTTGTGAAAGCATAAAGTCATACGTTTACATACGTACGTACGTACGTACGTACGTACACGTTTACGCATGGGAAGCTGAAACGTTCTTAGAACCTACGTCCCGGTAAAACGGTAAACGCAATCTCGTATTCCGGTTACACCGTAATGTAAAATGTACATGTATGAGTTAAAAGCTCGCAATAACAACTGTTGGGGATTTACGTCCCTAATTCGGGAAAAAAGATTGTTGGGAACAGCTGTCCAAGAATGTCAAAGTGCAAGAAAGTAAGGAATATTTTCTCATGCAAACAATGCTTAACCAGCCGGAATACAATCGCAGATTATGTCATCTAAATAAAGTGTTTTGCTGTAGTGGATCGTCATTGCCCGAGATAGAATACGTAACAGTGCTTACGCAAACATTCGTTGCATGAGAAGTAGGTCAGGACTTCATTGAATTACCTATTACGAAGTTTGTTAGCATTCCAGTACCACACATAACTCCTCCTCTCTCTATATTTATTTTCGTGTTCCTTGTTACCCCTTTATGCTTTCATAACGTCGTTGTTGTAAGCGCACATTTTTATGAAAGGCCAAGCATAAAAATAATAATGATGATTATGACGATAGTGGTAGTGATAACGATGATAATATCGATGCTATATTACGATGGTCTGAACTTTCGATTGCTCTATGGAATAATGACGGGCCCTTGCTTACCTTTTATAAAACGTATAGACTTGCTTCTGGCGTTGTTTTCTATGCGGTAGTATCCAGTATGCACATCGATGATATCTGCAAATAGGAACGTTAGTTTGAAATATCTGTTTGCTAGTCAGCGGTATCCTGTCTCACTGATATGTCCAATGAGCTAGCCTGTACGTTAGGTTAGATAAAATGCATGATTCCTCAACACGTTGCGATGAGGACCGCACGATGTGTTTGATGCCCACTTTTACTCCACTGAATCATAGGAGGAATAAAATTAGTGCTTCTTGTTAAGATCACGTGGTTGCCGTTTTGTGTGAAACTGAACCCCCGAACAGATCTCTGCAATATGACTCCGTAGTCGCGAAAATTATACAAGCTTCAGAAAACTTCGCCACAACTACAGCAACCTTATTTCTATTCTCGTCTAAGTCGTATTTCTTTAGGTATTCATCTGTATTTTTTTCTTTATTTATTTAAACAATGTACAATTTCTCGACGAATGATCGTGAATATTTATTTCCCCAAAATTAACACCATGTTCGTTGGTATGTGGGGTTTAACGTCCCAAAACCACTATAGGATTATGAGAGACGCCGTAGTGTGGGCTCCGGAGATTTCGACCCCCTGGAGTTCTTTAACGTGCACACAAATCTGAGCACACAGGCCTACAACATTTCCGCCTCCATCGGAAATGCAGCCAGCGCAGCCGGGATTTGATCCCGCGGCCTGCGTGTCAGCAGCCGAGTACCTTAGCCACTAGACCACCGCGGTGGGGCACAATAGCATAATGTTTGGCACTCACGCATAATCTCAGCGATCGTTTTTTTTTTCCTTTCAACAGCCGCTTAATTGTAGTTTACTAGAACTGCCAAGCACGAAAAAAGGAAGTACTGAATCCGCATGATCAGTAGAAGAAGAATGCAAACTAGACATTTTGGCGGCATGGGTCAATAAATTCGACATACAACAAATACTGTTAGTGTTCCACGCTTGCATACGATTGAGTCATACGATGCATGGAAAACGTTGATTTTCATTAACACTATATCTCCCAAGAATTATGATGAGATCTCCAAGTTGCATCTATAGTAGCAACATACCTCCAGAAACACTATGGTCTCAGCCGCTATGGTGGTTTAGCAGTTATCGTGCGTGACTGCTGGCCTGAAGATTTCGGGATCAAATCCCGGCCGTGGCGGCCGCATTTAGACGCCGGCGAAGTGTTTGATGCCCTTATGCTTACATTCATGTGCATGTTAAAGAATCTCAGGTGCTCCGCCGCGATGGTCCAGCGGCTAAGGTACTCGGCTGCTGACCCGCAGGTCGCGGGATAAAATCGCGGCTGCGGCGGCTGCATTTCTGATGAAGGCGGAAATGTTGTAGGCCCGTGTGCTTCGATTTGGGTGCACGTTAACGAACACCTGGTGGTCGAAATTTCCGGAGCCCTCCACTACGGTGCCTCTCATATTTATATGGTGGTTTCGGTACGTTAAACCCCGCATATCAATCAAATATCAAAGAATCTCAGGTGGTCAGGATTTCTGGAGCTTCCCATTCTACGGCGTCTTTCATAATTCCATCGTGGTTTTGGAGGTAAATATATAATTATTAGACATTAGGTCACTGTTTCAAGTGATTGCAATCGTCAATGAGCATTGACTCACTGAATAGCTCCATTATTTTGGTTGTTGGGAGCACGTCTGGATATCAGAAGTCTACAATCTTCTGGCGGCAGAAATACGGCGTGTGGTTGGTGTCGTTTGTTATGTAGTCAACGTGTAGAGGTGGCTTCACCGTGGACGCGTCCAGCGTAGTGGAGCGGAGCTCGTGGCCTTCGTCAGGGTTGAAGGTGGTCATGCTGACCGAACCGTCGCAGGAGTGGGCAAGCCTGGAAGACCATGAATGCTAATGTGCTATTTTTGGAATAATCAATATTTGTTTCATACCTGTAGCAAAGAACTGACTAAGCAAGCACCTCATCAGGCTATGCGGATGCCGACGAAGTAACGTTGAAGTTACACGGTGCTAACATGCTATTCTCTGAAATCTCTTCACTAGCCCCAACTATCTACCTGTGGGGGCTGTAGGAGTAACTTTCAATTCTCCATGCAGTTTGTTGGGAACTGCAAGCGCAGCTGTGAATTACATCAAGGTAGCATTATGAAATATGGCACATGCATGCTCGAATAATGCTTTACCTCTAATTTTCATGTACCAAGTCCGCAAGGATGAACAAACCATGCAATACATTTAAAAGATCGAGAGCATTCTCTTGGTATAACACAGAGCATTTGAAACAGCGAGGAACTCAGTCAAAGGTGGCATTAGATACGATGGGGCCATACTTGGGAGTAGTTTGAAATGATCAGGTGGGTTTTATAACACATGTCGCAGGAATAACAGAGGCACTTATGCCTTTGCTGTTTTGTGAATAATTGTGCACAATGATAATAAAAACACATGCTTACGGCTTTCCGTTCTGCACCACTTTATTGCCTGAAAGAAAATATGAACTTTGTTGTAATGTACTACAGTCAAAATGTACTGTTGAGAAGGTAAAGTACCCATTTGTCATATGGAAAAGTGTTATTTCGTACGGCACAGTATAAACCTCTAGATAATTTTCTTGGAATTAAGTTCCGAGCCCGAGCGCTTCGCGCCACGCACAGACAAATTTCTTCATGGTAATAACTTGAGAAACCGTTAATTTTTTTAGGCTCACTGAACTTGAAGAAAACGTAGAATAATGAGAAGGCTGACCTTGTAGGGTAATTAAATATTAGTTAACAGAAACAATACAACGCGCAAGCGCCTAATCATTAATGAAAGAAAGAAGGCTTACCAGTGGTGGCTTTTAAACGTTGCTTCTTCACCCTGTATTGGGCAAGAATAACGAACAACAAAAGCAAGAAAATGGCGGAGAAGGTTACAGTGATCAGGGTGACGACTAGGGAGTTGCTCTCTTCGCAGTTGCTCCAGTCGCCATCTGGAAGTCACAAAGTTAACAAAGTTGATAAAGTTAATCAAGGTATCCCGATAGATCACTTGCAAAACACCATTCTTGGATCAAAGCAGTGGCTATAGTTAACGTTGGGTAGATTTTAAATAGAGCCAGAACTCAAGCTAAAAGTAGTCAAACTAGGCGTACATTCTTGTTTTATCACCACTCTTGTAGCGAAGTAGAACGAAACTGGCATTGTGAATAGTTTTCATTATCGAACAATGAATAGTAGAAATTTGATTAACCAAGCCACGGATAGCAATATGAACACATTTCCTTTCCTATTACGTCTTCTAGGCACCACTCATAATCATTCAAATAATTTCCGTACGTCCTCATATAGGTTATGAAGAATGAATTGAGTTCTTGTTAGATGCGGGATGATTTTCCAGCCCGCAAGTCTGTAGGAACTTCAAACACTGAAGCAGCTTTTTCCTGGAGCCGCAGATCGAAATTCAATAGTAAAGTACTGCAATACCAGAGTAGCTTCAAGTAAAAAAAATTGTCGAGGGTGAAGAGCCTAGCAACATTTGAATGGGGATCTCTGTTTTGTCATGTTCATACTAGAAAATGCGCTCGGTACTTGCGCGCTAGCATCAGCATAGATGGCGGGCAGTGTGAGAAGCTTACAAGCCACGCGTTGCCGACATGAACGCTACTTCTTCGATTCGCATTTGCAGGTATGCCGCGTGTTGCTTTGAGGCACCTCGATGCGCACGAGCCTTTTGGTAAGGAGAGGACACCGGGCATAACATCGAGTGGCATAACAGGAAAGCTCGGAAACAGCACGTTTCAAGTGAAAATAATAAAAATGCTACCTAATGCACCATACCATAAGTTCAGAAGTAGCCGTAAGGTACCCACGAAACCAGGCTGAATTGTTCATAGCCAGACGGGATCGTAAGATAGCCAGTCAGGCACAAACTAGCCATCAACGAAAACGCTGGCAGAAATAGAGAATTTGTTCTGGAAGTTACTCAAACGCTGGCGGCACAAAATGCCGTAGGGTACATGCGGACAAATGTCTATTTCGCATTATGCATGAACATACTTCGATATTTTTTTTCTGACAGATCACTGCGTAGAGCTTCTGCATACACTCTTAATCTGGTCCCAGTTGCAGTAGTAGATAAAACACGGAAATCGGACAGTGTACAAAGCACTTTTTTGTTTTTTCTTTCCGTACTTCCGTCTTACCAGCGTATTTGCTTTCTTTTTTCATTCTCTTTATCTTGTTGCACGGGTGTCCGTCATGTTTTCTCTTAAAAAAATTGGCACTTCGCTGCTATGTTGCCGTTCAGTGATGTTCTGGTTTTCGAATTTCTCTAACAAAAAATAACAAAGAAGCAGTTCTTACGAGGCTTTAAAACTAAGTGACCACAGTTTCAAAAATCAAAGTGTTGACAGGCTCTCGGTTGTGTGCTACTCTTCACGTGCCATACATGAAAATCAAAACGTTATTTAGCCTCAAAAGATATAGTATTGCAGGGGTGGGCTCCGCTATATATAGCCCTTTGTTTTGTTCCAGTGTTCCGCGCATTAAAACACCCTTTCTTTTGCAAGTACGTTTTATTAATCAGTTCGAACAACCACCTTGTCACGTACCGTGATGCAATGTGCCATCCCAGTAGTGGTCGGGGGTGTCGGCGCGCAGCAGCACTGGTTCCGAGCGTCCCATCTCATTGACGGCGTACAGCACGAGCACGTAATTCAGGCTGACGGGCACGTCCTGCACCCAGAAGGCGGGTCTCTCGGCGCTCAGGTTGGCGAGGAGCCGGTGGCACGAGATGTCGTGAACTTCGAGGTTGTACAGCTGTCGCAGTTCGCCGCCATCGCTCGGGTCTTCTAGACACTCGGCCAGAAACGCGTCATCCGTCTGGTTGCTTAGTGTGCAATTGTATGGAGCCTTGGGCGGACCTGCAGAGTACATGTAACATGCTTTAGTTCGTGCATTCTTTTTTTAATGAAGTGTCAGTCTTTCCATAATTTGTGGCTTTTAAAGCAGCGTTTTTGCTACTTGTTAATACAATATGTCAACCTCTTTTGGTTCATCACTAACTGGAGCCTGTTAGGCCACCAAAATATGCGTGTATTTGTTCTAGCCTTCGCTTCAATGTCTGAATGTCTTGTTACGCATTACCTTCAATCGAGCATAACAAATAACAAAACATATATTCAGAACATAATTTTTTCCAGATTCTACATCCGCACTCTTATATTAAAGCCGACGGGAACTCAAGGTGAAAGCGAACACGAAAATGAGAAATTGGCTGAATAAGCGTGAACATATAGTAAGAAGCAAAGACGACGTTTATATCCCGAGAGATGCTAAAAAGCCCCATGGACTAAGTGCGTGAACTTCATATAAGGCATACAAGCTTGAAAAATTAGTTCATATTACAGTGCTTTTCTTTTGCGTTTACCTGAATATGCGACTATCGTTTTTTTCCCAATAAGCAGTCCCGAAGTACTGATTACTGGCTATAAATGACGCTCTAGCACGTGCACTTCTCGTTCCCGTAGTCAAACCATATACGAATAATTTCAGTTTATACTGATATGTAAAGCTCTCGCGTCACTTAGGGAAATCGGAAATGCCATTCAACTGCTTGTGTGGTTAAGTGTATCAATGCATCTTTTATAGCGGCAGTCAGTCAACCACTGAAAGTGGGCCCTCATGCATGAATCACCGTTCTTGGTAAAACTCTGGAAATTCTTGCTAACGTCTAGCGTCAGTTTTTTTTTTTTTTGTGGTTACTGAAGTACGCTTAGTGTTTCTGCATTCCTGGTTCTCCTGTTAAGTACAGCCCAAATTTTTTTTGTTGTACCCCTCGTGTAGAACACAGAACCCCCTCACCATTTGTGTGATGCCGTCTGGTCTATAAAGACCATATTTGGAAAGAAAATTTATGGAAATAACTATACCCGGATGTGCAAAACGAGAAAAAAAGCAAGCTTTTAACCACATAGCGCGACAAACAAGACATGGCGCTTGTTTTCCTTGTGCCTCCATCCACGCTTGGTATAACACCTCTAAGGTGTAATACAATGTGGCCGACCGCGCACTACTCGTGGCTTAAAAGAAGCTTTGCATAGGTAAAATTCTATCACAGCGTTGGATTTCCGTTCTACCTCTCATATTCCGCTTTATGGTTTTTATAAAATCCTCATGGGCCCCTATTTGCTGCGTCAATAATAAAAGCAAGTGGGTTTATTGTCTTGCCTGTTCGCACTTCTTTTATTGAACGCAAGAATATACGTGGTACTCAGTGACTGTGTAGGGATTGTGAAATACCGTCCACTATAGTTATTAAAAAAAGGCGCGTATTTTTCAACCTAAATGGAAAGAAATATCACAAAAACTATTACGGAAGGAAGCGCGAACCACAGGAATATCAAATCTTTCAAACAGCTTCCCAGTGAAGTCTCTTTTTAAATTTGAAACAAGAAGACTACCCAGTCAGCAACAAACTTCTATAATTTCGGTTGGCTATTTGTGTTTTTACTGCTTCTTTTATAAAAATGGAGGAATCGTTGGGAAGATACAACTCGTGACAGAGACATTTCGTGTTATGGTGAGTGATAACAGTGTCCTTTGTTGATTTTAAGGACGATAGCCTTTCTTGGGATACTTTGACGCAACAATTTTGGTTTGTCTGTCTATCTGTGTGTCTGTTATTTTCTTTTTGTCTGCTACTCGATTCAGCCATAAGGGCGAAAGTAGAACCCTTTGACGAACGACCACCCATCTTGATCTCTTGGCTGCGTTCATACCAGTGAACATTGTCAATGAAAAAACAAATATTACGAATATTTGGGCACAAAAGCAATACGGCAGTATTGGGCAGAACATTACTTTATTTATAAAATGCGTAAATACGTAATTATAAAAACCGCAATGCTTATTACGCGACTCTGCCATGTGACGCTATGACCACTAGAGAACCCCAGGTGGTCGAAATTTCCGGAGCCTTCCACAGCGGCATGTCTTATCATATGGTGGTTTTTGGGACGTTAAACCCACCATATGAATCGATCAACGCTATGACCGAGAAAACGGGTGTTTTTTACGCTCACTAAAACTACATCATGCTGCCGCCTATACCAGTGACATTGCTTTCTAGAAAAATTTTATTTCTTCTAATTACTGCTACATGGCATCCATATCCCACGCGGTGCCTATTCACTAACTTTCTTGCGCAGAACGTCAAATAAAGGTTTCATTCTCTGTCTCCAGAGAGAAAGCAATCGTCTTTCGACGGCCTTTGCCGACGAACTACACAGATACGCCACTAATTTTTTACTTTAATTTTTGTTTTGTTTGTTTTCTCTGGTCGTTTGAAAGGACAAAGGCACGTGCGTGTCCCATTTTTCCTTAGCACTTTGTCATCATATACGAAAAGTAGCGGAAACCATTAGTGTGACCCAAAAATCACTATCGCGAGAAACAAGCAATAATACTTGGTTGTTACGCCCTGCAATGAAAACAACGCGACATGATAGTGACTTTACTGATATGCGAGTGTAGAATAAAAAAAAAGGCATCCCAGTCACGTGGCAATATCGACTCCGGTAGCTTGGAGGATAACTCGCAAAGTGAATTAAATTAGAAGGAGCAAACATGTTTGAGACCAAACACGTATTTAAGAAGCATTTGAATGTTTCAATTAGTGCAGATTACATGGAACAAAGAGAATAAGCACGAGGTCGTCTTACCCCGGATAGCACACGATGCAGTCAAATAGCTGCTACTGTGAATATCGTTTTTTTTTTTTTTGCTTCAAGGCATTGTTTGCTTAAGGTATTGTTCATAAGAGTAAAAAAGAGTACACGTGTAGATGTTTGTCATGCACTCAGCACGCTGTTTGTCGCAATAAAGAAGGCAAATTTTTGAACGTAAGACAGGAGTTGGTAAAAAAATGTAAATGTGAATACATTAGGATGACAGCCTCATCACAGTTGTTTAGGTCGCCTCAGCCGTGACACTAAAGGCGGCCGCATTTCGAGTGAGAGGAAAATCTAGACTATTTCGAAATGAGAGCGCACTACTTAGACGCGGACAGAAAGACAGGGACAAGCGCTAGAGGTACATATTTATTTGAATTAAGGTGCTCGTTAAAGTTTCCAGTGGTCAAAATGTTTTATGTCCTCCACTGTAGTGTACCTTATCGCCGTATCATGGCTGACACGTGACACTCCAACAACGTTTATTAGAACCTGCTAAAACAGATGTTGAGGCCAGCTATTATCCTAGCATATCCGTTGGGGCATTCATTTTCAAGTGCTACTTTAGTATGGATAAAACCTATTGACTGATTGATTGATTTTGGGGCAGGAATGAGAGGTCAGGGTCATAAATTTACTGACCGATGGGGACAATCTGGAAGCGGCAGGGCTCCTTCTGTCGGCCTATCTTGTTTGTGGCCCAGCACAATAGCGTGCCGTAGTCTGATCTGTCACGCGGCACGTACGACGCCACGCTGTGGCTGCCCTCAGACACGAAGGTCAGAATCTCGTGGCGGCGCAGGCTGCCGTTGAAGGCCCACTGGAAGCTGACGGCCGATGGGTGAGCGTCTACGTCACATGACACTTGCAGCATTTCGTGCGTCGCAGCCGGGTACACGGTGCGCTGTTGAAAGCTGCACACTGGCGAGTCTGCCAAAGAAGAGAAATACAATGAGGAGGGTGAGCGCAAAAGCCAATACCATAACTGGGCGCGCACGTATGAGCCAGCCCCTGTGTGTGAGTGAGTCTCAGTGAGGTGACCCTTTTCCGAGTGTCGTCAGTACGCGTTCAGGTGAGCTATGTGAGGTCTCTTGATGACAAATCTGAGTCCTATATGGAGCCCCAAGCTAACGACATGTTTCCCTGCGCACCCTTGCAACGAGTTCTTCTTATTTTGCTCAAGGTGCGGAGTCGGTTGAGCAAGCTCAGTCACTTACATGTTCGCTAATGAGCCATGGAGCTAAACTTTCCAAAGCAACACTGAAACTTTGACTCGAAGCTTCGGCACAATTTCTCATTGCCTCGTGTTTCTTCATTTAATGTATAGCAGTTTAGGTACAGTGTAGTTTAAGTACAGGAGCTTTTCTTATCCTTACATCAACATCCAGGCATACCATGTAGGTGTGTGGATATATATATATATATATATATATATATATATATATATATATATATATATATGATGCTACGGGGCGCCACAAATGAACATTCTAGAAAAGAGGACGATGTTTAGCGCGAGCTCGTGCAGACCGGGCTCCATATTGTATGCCTGCCTGTTTACCGAAAGTAAAGGCATTTTTCAGACGCCTTCTCCCCGTAACATTTTGGTGGAGAGTGCGGGTCTTCCCACAGTCAACACCACGACGATTCTACGCAGCGGACGTTCCTTGGCTGCCTGTGCGATGCCTGATCAAGACGAACACGAGGATTCTTCGGAGACTACCCCAAGCGTGCTTCGTCCAACTACGCAGCCACCAACAGCACCGCATCCAGCTGCAACTAACCGCACCATCGTCCTGACTCAACCGCGTGACCCAGGCACATTTTCGGGCAGTGACAGTACTGACGTGGAGGAATGGCTTCAGCTGTACGAAAGGGTGAGCGCTCTTTACAACTGGGATCCGACGCTCATGTTGGCCAATATTATTTTGTACCTTGATGGTACAGCTAAACTTTGGTTTTCCAACCACGAGGAAGATATCACGAGTTGGGACATCTGTAAGCAAAAACTCATCGATCTCTTCGGCAAGCCCATCGGGCGTCGTCGTGCTGCGCAGAAAGAACTAGCGTCCCGACTCCAGTCCGGCACCGAGTCGTACGTCACATACATACAGCATGTGCTCGCCCTCTGCCGGAAGGTTGATGACAAGATGCCAGAATCTGAAAAGGTCGCGCACATCCTCAAAGGAATCGCCGATGACGCTTTCAATCTCCTCGTATATCGAAACTCATCGACCGTAGAGGACGTTATTAATGAATGCCGACGCTTCGAAGACGCGAAAAGTCGCCGCATCACTCCACACTTTTCGCGTCTTCCCAACACGGCTGCAACATCAACCTGCGAGGACGCCCGTTTGGCACCAGCCCATGCTGCATCCGACAATATCGTGCGCATCGTGCGCCACGAAATCGAAGCAGCATCTCCTCTGTCTGACCAAGTCCAGGCCCCTGACGACTCTCGCACCACGATTTCCTTAATCAAGAGTGTCGTACGCCAGGAACTAGCCAACGCCGGACTTCAGACGCTATGCCCCGTTAACCGACCTGACTACCGACTGCCCAGTATACCTAATATGTCCCGCGGACCGAACAACCGCCCACGTTACCGGAACCCGGCAGAATGGCGAACTTCCGATGACAGACCGATCTGCTTCAACTGTGGACGAGTGGGCCATATTTCACGTCATTGCCGCACTTCCTGGGGTTGGCAGCCATGGTCGCCTTATGCCAACACCCGACGCCCACTTGCTGGCTCTCGGATGCCGATCTACACGGCACAAGATGATGCTTCGCCATCCAGGCCCGCCCAACCAAGCCGCTCTCCGTCGCCCTCTGGACGCATGTCCCGCTCAACTAACCGACGTCGCTCCCCCTCGCCCTCCTACCACCAGTCCTCGGAAAACTGACGGGCGCAGCTCCTAGAGGTGAGCCTGCTTCGACGACCCGACCCAAAATTCCTCTACACACGATACCCGGACACAACAACTTGATTAAAGTAAATGTTGACGGTACTTCTGTGGCAGCACTCATTGACACCGGCGCTCACATCTCAGTCATGAACTCCAGCCTTTGTGCTCGACTCAAGAAAGTGCTCACTCCTGCTCCGATCACTCTTGTCCGAGTAGCTGATGGTGCAACACCAGCGGTCACCGGGATGTGTGCCGCCCGTGTCACTGTTGCTGGACGTCATACCACTGTTCTGTTTTACGTACTGGACCACTGCCCACATGACATCATATTGGGACTCGATTTTCTGTCGGAACATTCCGCCCTAATTGACTGTTCTGCTGGTGTTGTTCAGCTCGTCCTACCACACGCCGTTGACCCTCCTGATCCTGCGCCGCCAAAGCTATGCTCCGCCGACTTTGTTCGCCTATCTTGTCGAGCTGTGACGTATATCGACGTCTCTTCTGATCCACCTGTGGCTGACGGCGATTACGTCATTTCACCTAATCCTACAGTACTCTGTTCGCTCAATGTTGCGTTCCCTCACACCATCATCACAATGAAGAACAACGTGGCATGTCTCCCTATTGTGAATTTTGGACTTTGCTCTGAAGTGCTGCCACGAGGAATATCCCTTGCAACCCTTGCCCCGGCCGGCGACTTCCACATATCGGCCTTAACAGAGGATACACCGTCATCTACAAGTATTCAGTCGCGCAGTACACTAGACTGCATAACTGGAATGATTGCCTCTGATCTCCCGGCCGAGCATGTGTCTGCGCTTCGTGGCCTTCTTGCGTCGTATGAAGACGTATTTGATCTATGCGACCGACCCCTAGGTCAAACGACCGTCGTAAAACATAGGATCAACACCGGTGATGCAAATCCAGTACACCGGCGACCCTATCGAGTTTCCTCCACCGAGCGCCACGTGATCCAGCAAGAAGTCGACAAGATGCTTGCCCGAGACATCATTGAACCTTCTTCAAGTCCTTGGGCTTCGCCCGTTGTGCTTGTGAAAAGAAGGATAACAGCTGGCGCTTCTGTGTCGACTACAGAAATCTTAACAAGGTTACGAAAAAAGACGTGTATCCTCTGCCGCGGATAGACGACGCTCTTGACTGCCTTAGTGGCGCAAATTATTTCTCTTCCATCGACCTTCGTTCCGGGTACTGGCAGATATCAGTTGATGACCTGGACCGTGAAAAGACGGCATTTATAACTCCCGACGGGCTCTATCAGTTCAAAGTAATGCCGTTCGGTTTATGCAATGCCCCGGCTACATTCGAACGAATGATGGACGCTCTCCTTCACGGTTTCAAGTGGTCAATCTGCTTATGCTACTTTGATGACGTCATTGTTTTTTCGCCAACTTTCGAAACACATTTCGAGCGTCTCTCAATAATTCTTTCGGTTTTCCGCAAAGCAGGGCTCCAACTAAACTCGTCGAAATGTCACTTCGGCCGCCGGCAGCTTACTGTCCTTGGACACCTTATCGATTCTTCTGGTGTTCGTCCCGATCCTGAGAAAATCCGTGCCGTCAAAGATTTCCCTGTGCCGACCTCTGCGAACGATGTTCGAAGCTTTGTGGGCCTTTGTTCTTACTTTCGTAGATTTGTGCGGAATTTCGCTGACGTCGCACGACCACTCACGGAACTACTAAAAAAAAATGTGACTTTTGTGTGGGGACCTGAACAAACCAGAGCATTCGTTGAACTGACGAGTAGACTTACGACGCCACCGATTCTCGGCCACTTTGATATATGCGCTCCAACGGAAGTGCGTACCGACGCCAGCGGCCACGGCATCGGAGCCGTTTTGGCACAACGACAGCATGGCTTCGAGCGCGTTATTGCATACGCTAGCCGTCTTTTATCGCCAGCAGAGCGAAATTACTCCATCACAGAACGCGAATGCCTCGCACTCGTCTGGGCAGTGGCTAAATTTCGGCCTTATTTGTATGGACGCCCGTTCACGGTTGTCACTGATCAGCACGCCTTATGCTGGTTGTCCTCCTTAAAAGATCCTAGTGGACGTCTCGGCCGGTGGGCTCTACGGCTACAGGAATATTCCTACACGGTTGTTTACAAATCAGGTCGCCACCATGAGGATGCTGATTGCTTGTCGCGTCATCCAGTAGACCCAGCAGACCTTTCTGAGAGCGATGAGTCTACTTGCGTTTTGGCACTTTCCGCGTTTAGCAACATCGGAGATCAGCAACGCCGTGATCCTCACCTCAGAGATATAATCCTTCGGCTTAGTGGTCCCACAACTCCTCCTTCTCTCCGTATGTTCCTGCTCCAAGATGGCGTCTTATATCGCTACAGCATGCATCCTGACGGACCTGAGCTGCTGTTGGTCATACCACAACATATGCGTCAGACTGTCCTTGCACAGTTGCATGATATTCCGACAGCTGGTCACCTGGGAGTTTCAAGAACTTATGACCGCGTTCGACGTCGCTTCTTTTGGCCCGGTATTTACCGATCCGTCTGCCGTTACGTCGCCTCATGCAAATCCTGTCAACACCGCAAAAAACCAGCAACCCTTAAAGCGGGACGCCTTCAACCCATTCAGATCCCATCCGAACCATTTTATAGGGTAGGTGTTGACTTACTAGGACCGTTTCCTTTATCGGCGAGCGGAAACAAGTGGATAGCAGTCGCCACGGATTACACCACTCGGTATGCAATCACACGGGCCCTTCCTACCAGTTGTGCGACCGACGTCGCTGACTTTCTTCTAGAAGACGTCATATTACACCACGGCGCTCCTCGGCAACTGCTTACCGATCGGGGTCGCTACTTTTTATCACAAGTTATCCAAGACATATTGCACTCTTGCGCTACAAAGCACAAGTTCACAACAGCGTATCATCCTCAAACCAACGGGCTCACGGAGCGGCTAAATAGAACCATCACGGACATGCTCGCCATGTACGTTTCTTCCGACCATCGTGACTGGGACTTCGCCCTTCCATTTGT